TCTTCTTCTTCTTCTTCTTCTTCTCTCTCTCTCTCTCTCTCTCTCTCTCTCTCTCTCTCTCTCTCTCTTCAAAGGTTGGTCACGAACCCGACGCGTGTGAAGAAGGCCCTGGAGGTGGGGGCCTGCAACGCGCTCCTGCTGAAGGTGAACCAGCCGCTCGGAGCGGCACAGAAGAACCGCCTGGGTCCGCTGAAGCGGTTTTCATCAGCGATGTTTCGCGTCGAGGATCGGGTCCATCACGGAGGCCATCGAGGCGGCCAACATGTCCATGGACGCCGGCTGGGGCGTCATGGCCATGGCCCCGGGCGGAAGCGAGAGAGTGAGCAGCGGCTGACACCTGAGTGCCCATAGGTCTCCCACCGCTCGGGCGAAACGGAGGAGTTATCGAATGTCGCCCTCAGAGCGGTCGTCTTTTGTATAAGAAGGCTGCTCTAAGAGTCGCTGCCACATGTCTTGCAGGACTCCTTCATCGCCGACTTGGTGGTGGGCTTGCGTATCTGAGCAGAATATCACGTAGCGCCTGCGAAGGCAGTTTCCGGAACCTTTGCGGCCTCCTGGGCCTGCAGTTGCAGCATGTTGCAAACGGCTCCACCGAAAAACCCGAGGCACGGGGCAGATCAAGACGGGGGCCCCTTGCCGCTCGGAACGCCTCGCCAAGTACAACCAGCTGACACTTGGCTTGGATTGTGTCCGCGGCGTGCAGCACAGCAAATAGAGGGCCAGGGGGCGGGCGGTTGGAGGACCTTTTTTGGAGGGGGGGGGTGGTGGAGTGGAGGTGCTGTGTTCTTGCCTGCATGAAGCAGAGTCCCCGCCGCGGGCTTTAGCCGAGGATTCGCATCGAGGAGGAGCTCGGCCCTTTGTGCAGCCCCTTGGAAAAGCAGAGCAGAAAAGGAAGGAGTGCTCGGAGTTTGCACCCCTGGGCATCTTCTCTGCTTGAGCTGCCGCCTTTCGAGGCTTCGCTGGCGTGAACTTCCGAAAGCCCTGAGCCGCCTCCCGTCGGGTCCTGAGCTGAAGAGCCTCTGAAAGTGTCACCTTTTGCAGTGCGGCCTGTGTTAAAAGCACATGCTCGAGACGGCCTAAAGTCCGGAGAATTCGACCTGTCGTAGCCACTGTAGCCACCCCTTTCGGCCTATGATCGCCTATGTCAGGTAGGAAGCTTCCTTCGGCGAAAGGGGTGGGATCTAGTTTGGCCGCCTCCCAGAATTGCTTTAAGAGGGATGCTGTCAAACGCAGCTTCTTTCTCAAGAGACTCGGGCAGATTCCGGCCATAAAAGGCGCGTGCTTCTCCTTCCGGCTGTACATATGGAATCTTCTCAGTATCGTGAGCGTCGTCGTGATCCTCGGCCAGACACTCCCTGAGCTGCTCCTATAACACCCTGTTGACACTGCGGCGGCTGGAGTCTGTTGTAGACCCAGGGTTGTCTTGTGGGTGCCGTTGCGGGTCTGTAACCTTGCGATTACGGCATCCCCGATGTACCGAGCCTGTTTTTTCTGTAAAGCCGGCTTAAGGGTGGCGGGTGTGGGGTGTGCATCTGCCTGTCAGTGAATTTCTATAATAAGACGGAGGTTGATAGTGCTATTGCTGTTGTTGATACAAAAGCACTTGATAATTTTAATTCTATAAATGCTATTAA